GGAGGCTGAGGCAGGAGAATTGCCTGAACCCAGGAGGCGGAGGTTGCGGTGAGCCGAGATCGTGCCATTGCACTCCAGCCTGGGTAACAAGAGCAAAGCTCCGTCTAAAAAAAAAAAAAAAAAAAAGTTAGGTTATAAAACCGATAAATGTAACTTACCCCATTAAAAAATTAAAGGAGATACAGAAAACAAGCACTTGATAAACTTTTTAAAAACGTGTCATATTAAAAACTCTTTGCGTAACTACAAATAGGTGGGTAGTCCTTTAACCTAATTAAAAATCTATAAAAAACCTTTAGCAAACATGTTCAGTGAAAACCCTTTTAGAATGAGGAACAAGAAAATGGCCTCTCTATTCCTAGTCAACACAGTACTGGAGGTACTATCATTATAAGAAAAAGATTCTACAGATAAATTATCAGAATTTATACATAAGTCTGGTAAAATTCTCATGTAAAAGTAATATATAAAGTCAACTGCAGGCGGGCATAGAGGCTCACACATGTAATCCCAGAGCTTTGGCAGGCTGAGACCAGAGGACTGTTGGAGCCCAGGAATGAGAGATCAGTGTGGGCAACATAGTGAGACCCTGTTACGACAAAAATAAAGTAAAAAATTTGGTATAGTGGTGAACACCTGAAGTCCCAGCTACTTGGGAGGCTGAGGCAGGAGGATCACTTAAATCCAGCAGGTAGTCCCAGAAATACCATTTTATCTCATATAGAAAATACAGCTTTTATGTGGATATAGGATTGCTATTAAAAAAAGTATACCTATAGACTAATGATTTGAGAAAAAGTAAAGTATGACAAAGTAAAGGGAAGGTAAAGGATCTAAAGCTGGAGAATTTAATACCAGCCAAGGATGGTTTGATGATTTTAGAAAGAGGTTTGACTTTTTAAAATGCCAAAAAATAGGAGAGGCAGTTTCTGCTGACCAAGAAGCAGCTTCTGCCAACCAAGAGATAGCAGACAAGCTCCTAGTTGCCACTACAAAAATCACTGAAGAGACAGAATATTTGCCTGAACAGGTTTTTTGTTGTTGTTTTTTCTTAACAGGTTTTTAGTGCAGGTGCAAAGTGCCCTATTTAGAAAAAAAGAAAAATGCCACAATGGACATTTATTAGTAAAAAAGAGAAGTGAGTACTAGGATTTAAGGCAAAAAAGGGATAGGCTAACTTTACTATTTTGTACAAATGCAGTCAGGTTTATAATCAAGACTTCCCTTATTTATAAAGCTACTAATCCCTGAACCTTGAAGGGAAAAGGTAAACACCAGCTGCCAGTCTCCTGGTTGAACAAGAAGGTCTGGATGAGAACCCATTTTCTGGATTGGCTCTATGGGTGCTCTGTCCATGAAGTCAGGAAGTTATCTTATTAGTAAGGGAATGCTTTTTAAAGTTCTTTTGATATTGGACATTGCTTCTGGCCACCCAGAACCCTGAGTTTAAAACCAAAGGTCTTGAAGTCGTCTACTTGCCCCCCTAAAAACAACATCTTGACTGGGCACTGTGGCTCATGCCTGTAATCCCAGCACTTTGGGAGGCTGAGGTGGGAGGATCACCTGAGGTCAGGAGTTCAAGACCAGCGTGATCAACATGGTGAAACCCCATCTCTACTAAAAATACAAAATTAGCCAGGCGTGGTGGCAGGCACCTCTAATCCCAGCTACTCGGGAGGCTGAGGCACAAGAATTGCTTGAACTTGGGAGGCAGAGACTGCAGTGAGCCAAGATCGCGCCATTGCACTCCAGTGTAGGCAACAGAGCAAGACTCTATCTCAAAAAAAAAAACAACCAACCAACCAACCAAAACAAAAAAAGACAAAAAACAAACAATGACAAAAAAAAAAAAATCTCTAATTCAACTTCTAGATTGAGGGTCCTAAGGACTTATAAGGCTCATTACACATGGTACTTTATATTAATAGAAAGGAGTGTCAGCACTATCGAAGAGAACTCAGATAGAGAGAACATCACAAGTCTGGAAGAATTATACCATTGAAAATGTCTCCACTGTTTACAGAGAAAGCATGAAAGCCATCAGGCCCAAGACGATCAATTCCTGCCGGAGAAAACTGAGTCCAGAAGTTATGCATTACTTTACAGGATTTACAACAGGGCCAATCAAAGAAATCATGAAACAGACTGTAGA